GGCCGGCGGGCGGCTGCTGGAGGAGGAAGGGGGGGATTGTGGCGGGGCACTGCAGCCCCGCACTTTTGAAATTCCCCGGTGCCAGCCAGTACAGGCCACGTGGGGCCGAGGGAGTGCATGCGCGGCGTGCTGAAACGCCACGCAACAGCTGAGAGGGGAGACGCTTGGGCGTGGCGTGGCATGGCTGCTCTAGAGACACACCGATGTGTAATGATTGCCATAGCACTCTGCAGCTGAATGGGGGTCCATTCTTACTCTGCTATGGCGTCTGCACAGATAATATGGGGGGGGAGGTGTGAAAAGACTGCCATTCCTTTCAAGCAGGGGGGAGAGGAAGATGAGTGCACAATGGAAGACTGACAAAATGTTCTACACGTATCTATAACCACTTGCGGGAGGTGTTAGTGGGAGGGGGGACAGGTTGATGCTGGGAGAGGAGAGGGTAAGGGCATTGGGGCCTAAAGGGGGGAGGGGGAGGTGCTGGGAGAAGGCTTGAAAGGAGGGGTGGGCGTGAGGATGGCGGGGATGTGTGAGGGCACAGGCGCATGAGGAGAATGGGAGCAGCAGGGGAGGGAGCAAGTCATGTGTGAGGGAGCAGTGGGGTATGAAGAGAATTGGGGCAGAGGGTGGTGAGGGGGTGGGCATCAGGGAGAAAGAGGGCAAAGGGGGCAGGGGCAGTGAGGGAAGGGGGAGGCACCAGGAGGGTGCAGGGGAAAGGGAAGGTGCAGGTGCCTGGGGATTCTGGGGATGAAGCAGAAGGGCAGACACCTGCAGGGGAGGGACCAGCACCAGGAAGAGAGATGCAGGGCAGGTGTGTAGAGGGAGGTGTTAGGAGAGGGGATGAGGAGGGGGTAGCTCACATGATCAGTGTGGGGCTACTGGAGAAGTGGGCACGGGGGGACACACCCTCTTTTTCTGTTTTTTTCTCCAAAGGGGGGGCCCCGTGATATTGTGCTGCCCTGGGCCCCGCAAAACTCTCATCCGCCCCTGACGAGGATTAAGGGAAGTCGGGGGAAGAGTGCTCTATTTCAGAATAAGTGCTGTGTAGACATGTCCAAATTCGAAATAAGCTAAGTTGACTTCAGCTACACAATTAGCGTAGCTCAAGTTACGTAGCTTATTTCGAGTTTAGCACTGCTGTGTAGACGCGCCCTCTTGGTAACAGCCCAAATGTTCAGGCTCAGACGCTGAAACCCGGGGGGGTGGAGGCCAGACCCCAGGCCAAACCTAAAAGCCTATACTGTGACTTTTATCCGTGCAGTGTGAGCCCCAGGAGCCAAGACTGTCAAACTTGGGCTCTGAGTCTCACTGCTGTGGATAGACGTACCAATTTAGTAGCAATTTTCATTTTCAAAGGAGATCATGTCTACACAGGGAAGTTTACGGGTAGTAGTATACTGGTGTAATTAAACTATTGTAACTCCTGGGTGGACACGCAAAAACAGAGGCCTTTTTCAGTTTAGTTTATATCACTTTGGAAGCGTTTTAAAAATACAGTTACAGGTTACAACTCTCATAAGCTGAACCCCATATATTCCAGGATTCTGCTGGTCAAGAATTTGCTGAGCCTGCCTGGGGCTCCCCGCAGAGTCTGCAGGCCAGATCTGGTGGCTTGGTGGGCCGGATTTGGCTCCCAGGCCGGATTTTGCCCAGGACTCTTCTAAAACAACCCAAGGTGTTAGCCATCATCTTCCTCGTCACCGTCGCCTTCCCCATCATCACCAGTGACTATTATTCTGGCGCCTCCCAAGGACTGCATCTCCTTCTCCTACCACCCCTAGGCTGGGATGCCACTTGTATCATATGTTACGTGGACGTTGTTGTGTTTGATTAATATTCAGTAGAGGATGTTTCCTTTTCTCCTTATTTGTATTTCCTCACCTTACTAAAGGTGAAGTGTCTTTTTCCAACAGCTCAGTATAGCATCGATCTCAACTTATTATCATCTGCATCAATTCGTTACCATGGGCCTTCTGTGGTTGTCTATCACATGTATTATTTCTGTCCTACCTGGTTATTTGGTATGGTCCCAACTGGTTATTTTGGGGTTTTCTAAGAAATGATGTACTGGCTAAGTTTGAGGGTATTCTTGGACATGCCCATACCATGGAAAGTTCCTTAATCTTACCACCATCTATCTAGGTGAAAGGTCCTGAACACATGTGAGCTAACTGTGGTATCTCAGTGAAAGGTCCCAGATAAAAATACTAAGTTTGCCTCAGCTCAACATACAGACGTGGCCTGTAAGTCTTTTGTGTTACTGCCAATATAAACCTACTGGAACTTAATATAATAAACATATACTCAAAACCATACGGAAAAAATAAATATTATATATACACGCTAGTGGGCAGGTTAGCCCCATAGGCTACACCTCCTAATAAAAGCGCATTATGTCACCTACTTAAACCACAAAGGATTAACATTACAGTGATGCAAATGCAAAGTCATGCTGCCACGATTATGCCAGTGATCACGGATGCCATGAAGGCTCTGAGTTGGCCTTGCCCTGGACTTAGACCTTGCCAGTACTTCAGAAGCAGGACACCCCTGGAGCAGAGAGAATTCTACAGGAAGTCCTGGCTCAGGACACCCCAAGTGCAGCCACTGAAGGACAGCTCTGCAGGAAGTCCTGGTGTCTGGTGCCTTCTGGGCACAGCTGCTGTCTTCCAGCAGATAAAGCCCTTTTGGGTCAAGGCTGCCATGTGTCTGTGCTCCAGGCAGAGCCGTCACAGGCCTCTGAGGTTTTACTTAACAGAGGTTTGTGCAAACCACTTCTTTGGTTTCCATGCGAGTTTCACACCTGCTGAGTCGCAGATGGAGCCCTGAGGTTCATGGAAGGTACATGGGGCTGCATAGTTTGTAGAATGTTTAACAAAATAAACGAACTGAGAATTTCGCAATTTGGGAAGGGGCCTTTCTTTGAAGTTCTCCCTTGCCTTTCCCAGCCAAGTAGAAATGCAGGCACTTCAAAGAAAGAAAAGCTAAAATCCAGGCTTCCTTGCTGCTGAAAGAACGGATATGGTGGAGACAGGGGGATACTTTAATAACTGCTGCCCACCTCAGTACCATCATGCGAGGTCATCTCCAAAATATGGCTTCCTCCAGATGCTATTTGCAAAATGGACTGTATAGCCCTAATGGATCCATGTTGCGAGTGTTATCACCTTAGTGTTATCGCAATGGCAAGGCTAAATGGCCGGCATCATCCCAAGTGTGGTCTTTGTTTTCCATGTCAAAGAACCCAAGAAAAGTCAACAATGGGCATCTCTTCACCAGTACCATAAACACATAAACACACCATTTCCATACTTGCATTCATCTAGGGTAAGGGTGGGGAACCTCAGGCCCGGGGGCTGGATGTGGTCCCCAGCTTACCTGGATCCAGCCCCCGAGGCTCAGGGTTCCCCCCAGCTTTGGGGAGCCTGCACTGGCACTCCAACTCCCCCACTGCCCACACAAAATCTGCTAGGCTGGACCTTCCTAGGCTCTGGTGTGCAAGGGAAATGTGGAAAGTGTCTTTCTCCTTCTCAGCCAGGCGCCATGTCAGTGACGGGGTTTTTGTTTTGGATGTTTTTGTTTTGTTTCTCACTTGTGAGTGTCCCCCTCCCTCAACCGATTTTTCAGTGGGTTAGTGGCCTCCGACCCAAAAAAGGTTTCCCACCCGTGATCTAGGGTCAGACCCAGCCCTTACCTGCTATGACTCCAGCAATGTAGACAAAGCCAATCCTTGCTGCTCCGTGCACCATTTCAAGGGGAACCCCAACCAGAAGCTGAAGAGCAACATTGAGTCCAAGGTGTTCTATCCTGGGGCAAAGGAAAAGATCATTTGTTGTGTTTTTCCCACCAGTGTTTCCCCCGTGTTTCCAACAGGGTAATGACGTCTTGGAAGGGGAGGCCACGAGAGCCACAATCTAGATTCTAATCACAGCATTTCTGTGGCTCAATCTACGTAACTTTAACACATTTTTTTTAGCCATTGATGTATGGCTGTTTTACCATCAATATTCATATCACACACTCTGATACTTGTATTTGGAGAGACAGGCAGCTATCCCTAGGCATGAGTTTGATGGCTTCAACTCCACCACAGTAAAATCTAAGATAAGTGTATGTAGGAAGGGGATAAAAACCCAGGACCTTTGTTTAAAAGTTAAACAAAGCCAACGCCTAACGAAGTCACCGCTAGCTGTAGCGGCATTAGGGATTTTCCAATCTTTGCAGGCTGCATCCACTAGAAATCCATGCTAGTGCATGAAATTAAACAGATCTGACTTCATTCAGTACAGAGCAGCTGTGACGGATACTGTTCACACTCCTCAGTCATTTATTATAGGGAACCATGGTAGATTGCTTCAGTAAATTTTTTGGGTGGGAGATTACATTAGGTTTGTATTATTCCAACAGAACATTACAAATAATCCCCAGGTTATGTGAGTTAAATCTATACAGGTGGAGTGCACCTCCTGAGTGTTCTGTCAAACAACCTTTTCATAAGAATTATGTCTCTTCCCAAGATTGTAATAAGGAAGATGAAGAGAATTTGGTGCAAAGGCCACTATCTTTACCCGAAGATACGTCACTCCTTTCAGTAGCATTGTAATGGATTGTTACGACAAGAAGTCTGATAATTCAGATCAGTGGATTTAGGAATGAGCCACACTTTCCTGTGTGAACTTGAACAGCAAGGCGTGTCCCTAAAGAAATATACAGCATGGAGTAAAGCGCGAACCAATGCATATAGCAGAAATCTAGAGCCATGGAGCCATTCAATATGCTTTGATCCACCAAATATATTAAGTGACGAAGTTGCTTACGTGAAGACTATATTTGATTCAAGGGCTAGAAATACAACTGAGAAGAAGATTCCTGGTTCCCCGGAATTGTCCTGTAATCATTTGGGAGCGGGCTTGAGACAGTATTTAAGTCTATATGATGCAACTTACCCCCTTCTGATGCCAAGTTGTACTCTGAAAAGATCAAACTTTGGTGGCACGGGTGTTACTGATAGAAAAACACTGAGAAACACCCAACCTGAAAACATTTTTATCCTACCAGGCAGGTGCTATGAAATGTTTTCACCTTTAAGTGAAATCCCATTCAGCATAGTCCTCATAATGGCCAAAGCATAATTGAAGCCACTGATGCATGTATAACATTAGAAATAGCCTCTGCATGGAAATAAGCAGTAATACAAGAGAAAAGCAGGGTTACTGGAGTCAAGGGACTCACAGCCAAGCTGTTCAGAACACATTACATCACCCATTGTCTTTTCTGCTGTTCCTCCTTGGCAGCCTTTGGTCCTTTCAGCCACAGACCGCCAAGTTCTGAACCAATAGCAACAGCCTCACAATGCTCATCTTAGACCCATTTCCACAGATGGGTACAATGGAGTATAGAGGAGGTAAGTGACCTGCAGCCATACAGCAAGACAGCAGCAGACACAGACAAAAGCCCAGCAATCTTGACTCTCAGTGATCTGCTCTAACCACTCGACAGGATGCTCTCCTGCTTTGCACATCGATTTGACTTGTGGCTTTCCAGGCAATTCCAGGGTAGACGCAGTTGTTCCACCACAGTTCCTTCCCCACCCTTGCGGATACACAATTCTCCGTCAGGATTCTTGCTAGCAGGTCCATCCCCAGGTCCTAACATTTGCTGGGCTGATCCCTAGCTGCCCATAGCAGAAGCAGACGGAAAGTAAAGGTAGGACCTCCCTGCTCCAGCATCCTTGGGACCTGAATCATGGAGTTTGCCGGACCAGGAGAGGTTAAAGCTCCCCTCCCGGCCCTGCTCCCTGCCGCTGGCTCCACTGCCCTCCCCCCCACTGCTGGTGCTGTGCTCCTGCCTGGGGCTGGGGCTGTGCTCCTCACCACTGAGGGTGCCAGTCTGGGCTGCTCTCCCAGCCGCCGGCCCTGCTGTGCCCATCCAGTCTGGGCTGTGCTCTCGGCCCCTGCTGGCCGGTGCTGCACTCCCGACCACGGCTGTATTCCCTGCCTCTCCATTACCAGCTCAGTCCCTGCACCTGGCCTGCCAGGGCTTTCCGGACCAGCAATATCCACGATCCTGCCAGACCATGGATGTTGCCGGACCAGAGAGTCCCAGCGTTTAGAGGTTTAACCCGTAGAGCTTTCACATGTGGCTGACACAGGTTACCTTCACGTGAGGGATGTGCCAAGTGCAAGGAAACCTCTGAATTCTGGCCTTGCTTTGCTCTCTCTAGAGTCAATGGTAAAACGCTGATTGGCTGCAGCAGAATCCGAGACAGGCCCATGCTGAGTGCTTGTGAAATTCCCACCTGCCGAGCAGAGCATGGTTTTAAGGCTGCCTGCTGCTCACAATCCCTACTGTGCACACTAACAAGTGCCATGCTGCGTGGGAGCCAGCCGGAAAGCGTGAATCCCAAGCAAATGTGTCTGTGAAAAAAAAGACACCGGTGCTGTAGATTTCCGCTGTGTTTGATCACGAGTTTAGAACAGCAAAGATCTTGCGTCTCATCAACAACACTTGGCACATAAATGTCGTTTTCTGTCTTTTGAAGCACCATGCAAATATTTACACCTCCCCTTTGCTACTGAGGGATTCCCAAGCGCTTTAACAATGGTACAGGTTGGACCTATCTGGTCTGGCACCCTTGAGACCTGAGCAGTCCCGAACCAGGGAGTTTGCCAGACCTGGGGAGGTCAAGGCTCCTCTCTGGGTTGTTGGGGTCTCCGGAGCCTGGGCTACCCACCCTGCTGCCGGCCCCAAGCCAAGGTTCCTGGGGTCAGCCTCCTTGGGCTGGGACTCTTCAGCCACCACTAGCCCCGCTGCTTCCAGGGTTCCTGGCCAGGGCCGGGGATTCCCCCAGGGTTCACCAGCCCTGGTCTCGCAGGGACTCTGGCTGGGGCCAGGGATTCCTCCCAGCTGGCACCAGCCCTGCTGTTGGAGCTGGGGATTCCTCTAACCAAGGCTCTGCTCTCAGCCCCTGCTGGCCAGTGCTTCACTCCCAGGTGCTGGCCCTGCTCCCTTAAGCCCAGGCGCGGCTGCATTGCCGGCCAGGTCTGTGCTCCCTGCCTCCCCACCGCCAGCTCAGCCCCTGAACCTGGCCAGCCGGGGCTTTCTGAGCCAGCAAGATCCATGATCCTGCCAGACCACGATGTTGCCAGACCAGAGAGTCCTGGATTTGGAGATTCAACTTGTACTGCGCATCCCTTTTGCCAACCTACATAGCTCCTTGTCACCGGCTGTGTTCTCACCACCCAGAAATCCAATTGGCTATCTTGCCCTCCAATGCCTTAGTCACCATTTATCTTGGGCTAGGTATCTCTAGTTCTTGTGGGCTTTCCTCATGCCAGCATTGTGGTTTGCCTAATGTAAACATCGGAGAAAACATTCTGCGCTGGAGGCTGTAGAGAACTCTCCCAGGGTAGGTGGTAAAACAGTGAGGGGCAACCTAGGCTAGTGAGGGAGCTGCACCAGTGGTCCCTCCTTCAGCTCAGTGGGCTGCAAGATTGTTGGAACCAGAACAGTCTCCTGGGGTAGGGCCATTCTGCTCACTGCCCTCTCTTGCACTTAGACCCGGCATGGCTCTCCCAATGCTGCGTGTGCATCCAGCATGCACCTCACTGCACAGGCCCTGGCTTTAAATGCTAGTCACTTTTATAATATTGGTAGGAGAAAAAAATTATGTGCCCCAAACCCAGCAGAATCTGGCACCCTTGTGTGTGGGCAATGGTAAACAAAATCCCTCATGGGCCACACACAGAACCCCCATGGGGCACGTGTGGCCCTCCAGCTGCAGGTTGCCCACCACTGTGGCAGAAGCTTCCTCCCTTCGGATATTTTAAAAGTCAGATAGACAAAATACTAGACCAGAGAATAAGCCAGATTATGGGGAGCAGAACAAATGGGGAGAGGAAGGGGATTAGGAGAGCATGGGCTGGATGTGGCTCACCAGGGTTAGCCTCTGGCGGGCTGCTGGCACTTTATTTACCTGTGCCTCCGCAGGTACGGCCACTTGCAACTCCTGTTAGCTGTAGATCACCCTTCCCAGCCAATGAGAGCTGCGGGAAGTAGTGTCTTGGTCCACACTGCTTCCTGCTGCTTCCATTGGCCAGAAACAGCAATCTGCAGCCAATGAGAGCTTCAAACAGCCGTACCTGCAGAGGCGCAGGTAAATAAAGTGCCAGCAGCCTGCCAGAGCTAACCCTGGTGAACCACGTTCAGCTCATGGGCCGGATACTGCCCACCATAGTACTAGACATTGTTCTGGAAAGCACAATCCTGTCCTTAAAAAAGAAAGATGGGCTGATGTCTTACTAGGTTTGTTTCTATCCCTAATTTCTCATGTTCTCTCCTAATCCCCTTTCTCTCCCCATTTGTTCTGCTGCTTATTATGGGACATTGCTATAACTGAGGGTGCTTCTCTTGCTTGCTCTGAGCATTGGAGCTACTGGCAAGGTCACTTTTTTGTGTTCATTCGGCTCAGGCAGGCCCAGGGGACGTAAGCACTGAATTGGGAATGCTCTTGTGAAAGTCAAATAGAGACCACAGGGATGATTCAGAGCATCTCACTGCCCTTGGATAGAAAGGAAACCAAGAGGCTGACACTAGTAACTGTCATGGGGAGGTGTCCAACATTTTCAAGCCAAGCAACTGTCTGTATTTGAGCAAGCCAGCTTTGCAGGAGCTGAGTTAGGGAGGATAAAAGCTGTTTCTGGGGATCTGACATGGGACTGTTCTAAAAAGTGTCACCCTGAGTGAGAGCCTATTCAGGCCTCCTTCCCATTGAGCTGAGAGCATCCGCAGTTCCATAGTGAATAAGC